CCCCCCCCTCCCCCAGCTGAAGAAAGGAGTTGTTTATAAACAAAATGGTTGTTTATAAACATTGGTTTCTTCAGTATATTTGCTCGAACTAGTTTGTCAGCAACTGCTTCTTACCTCCAATCTTGTGCCATGGAAGCTGCCATGATGGAAGGTGCGCAGAAGGTAACAACGCATATATGAAGTACATGCAAACACACAAGCACACAAAAGTTTCGCATGGCACAGTGTCCATTGATCAACTACCTCTGATCAAAGTGGAGCCCAAATCCAAAAAGTCCTTCAAGGAGTTCTTTCAGGTCATCCGCAATGTGTCTGATGTGGATGTGGCTGCTATTCGTTCAGTGATGAGTGAGGCATCACCAAAATATGCTCATCTACCTGCATCTGTCCGTCCACGTGATGCTCTTGGTGACTCTTGTGTACTTCAATTAGTTTTGGAAAAATCTGCTCATGCTTCCTGGACAGTCCTCAAGTTCTACCACTCTACGGTGTCAATTCCAATGGGCTTGGCCAAAACTCTTTGCAACAATAACGTCCTCACCATCGACTACAAGATTTGCTCTAATTCTGATGTCGTCAAGAAGGGCTTCATGAAGATGTTGAGCAAGATTCCAGGAGACCAGTGGCTAACACAAGAAGTAGTGGACAAGCCACAGATTCAACGGCATACTTCCAAGGATGGAGACAACAAGACTTGGAATCCAGATGAAGAAGAGCTTCGCTGTGGAATAGCCTACATCAATGAACATGCTCCTCTGGCCAACGCTCACAATGAGCAATATCTTTGGGTATTGCTGAACATTCGTGATGAGGCATCGCCGCTCTACGGTTGGCCATCTGCAGTAGTCCAGAAAGCATGCGCAAACCGGTCATCTGGCAACTGCCAGTCTGAACCGGAATGGTTCTTTCCTTTGCTGCTCTTTGACCTGAACCCCAAGTTTCTGAAATCTGTGGTGCCCCTGGTGCTTCCTTATCTTCCCAACTTTGGCTTGATGGTCCTTGGGCGAGCCGGCATTGGCAAAACTCCAACTGCACAAATTATGACCTTGGCAGTAGCTCGTCATCTTATTTCTGTTCGTGGTCTTTCTGGCATGGCTGGCTGGCGGCGATCAAAGCAAATTGACGGGTTTCGCGAGCGGCCGGGTGAGGTCAATGTGCCTGTCTTGCTGGATGACCCAAACCTCAGTGCTATCAACTTTGAAGACATCAAGTCTTTCTTAGACGTTGGTGAGACTTGCTTAGTAGATGCCCGCTACAAGCCTGCCAAATTTGTACGCAACCAATGCCGGGTGATCCTGAACAACGAATGGGATGAAACCAAAGAGCCAGATCTTTCTTTGGGTGATACCATCACCTGGGAGCAGTTCCAGGGCATGTTTGCTGTCGCCATCCAGTATGCCAAGCATCCTCACATGATGGCTATTTTGAAGCGTGCTGCTGTCATCATTGCTGGTCGCAGGGCGGTGTACTTGCGTTTGCCAAGCCAAAATGAGTCAGAGACTATTTACCGCTTCTCTGGTGATGGGATCACAGAGGATTGGCTCTGCGACAAAAACAAATCTTCGTATGGCTCTTACAAGCAGGGAGTGCATCAGAAGTATGCCAACTACGACAGTCAGCTGGACGAAGAGGCTGCCCTTGTTGCAAAGCTGTTGGCAACGCCAGAGGAAAAAGCATATATGGAAAGAGCTGAGAAGCATGACCAATGGAGAAGGGAAGCAGCTCCTGTTGAGCCAGAGGCTCCTGCATCTCCTCGTCCTTCGCCAATTGCTTTGAAGGAAGAAATCATCTCACCAGCGACAAAGCGTGCACGAACAGCCTTTGGTGTCATTGACGTTGAAGGTGAAGAGAACAACAACATGGAGACCGATGCCATCGACATTGCCCCTGTGGCAGCGCCAGACCCTATGGGCGAAGAAGAAGAAGATGTATTTGGATTCGGTGGTGGTTTTGAGGCTCCTGCTTAGTCTTGCCTATGTACAGAGAGAGGACGCGTTATGAAAAAGATTGAAAATTGTATTGCTTCCTGACAGCTTTGACTTGTGTTCATAGAGCGATGTGCACTTTCAGACACAGTTCATTTGATCCATGATTGTAAGCTGTGCTGCAGATGTCACTTACAATCAGATGTCACTTGCTTGTAAACTGTGTTCACAAGAATATCCTCCCTTGCCTGTCGTTCTTGCATTTTCATTCTTTGTATATCTCACGCGAAGTAGCATCTCGAGCACTGCCTTGGTAGTTGTCGTATCTGCGCAAAATGCTTTCCAGATCCGTTCGAAGGAGGCCTGCCCAACAAAGCTCTGCAGGTCTGTTTCGGCCGCTGACTCATGCAGAATACCGAAGTGAAGTTTGTGAAGGTTGGTTTGCGTCATCTCCAGCTTTGACTTTACATGCGCTGGGGCCTCCATTGTGCTCAGAGAATGAACTCACTGATTGTACTTCACTACGGGGCATTCTGATTGCTTTGTCTCTTGGGTTGATTCCTGATGTCAAGGTTTGCCCAAACAACAAGAAGCACTCGGTGAAGTTGGTGGAGGAATGGGAAGATGAAGAACTACGTTATAGATGGCGTTGCTGTCAACGAGGTCACAAATGCTTTCGTTCTTCCCTTTGTCCTGCAGGTCTTCTGTCCCAAGTGTCTTGCTCCATGTGGTTGCCTTTCTTGTACTTCTCCAACGCAATGCGGCTAAACTACAGGTGGAACAAAATTCAATCCGAGCTTCAGTCTATCTTTGGGAATAGCTTCTCTGACAAGACCATGCGCCGATGGCGGACATTATACCAGTCCTCTTTGCAGAATTACCTCTTGCACCACAGCAGCATGATCATTGGTGCTACTCCTGGAGATGTTGTGGTCTTTGATGAGACAAACTTGGGCAGTCAACGGGGCATTTCGAAGTCATCATCATCTGGTCGTAGTTCAGAGAGAACAAAGGCCGTGACTTCGCAACGTGTGGCAAAGAGACTTCCAGCACAAACCGTTCACCGGCGTCCAGCTGCTCATTTGCGCCGGCCTGCTGCTGCGCCTGCGCGTCGGCCGGCTGCCGCCCCACTTCGCCGGCCTGCCGCAGTCATGAAATCTGTCTTCAACAAGAACAAGGTGGGCACAGAGAGGGACACCCGCTCCCAGGGCCGATGGCTCTTTGCAGCGGTTCTTGTTGGAAATAAGAAAACAAAATACACACATGAGAACGGAAAAAACGGTTTTCCTTTACCCTCTTGCCAAAGCCTGCTTTTGCTGCGGATCACAAATCGCGGGGCACTGCTTCTATGAAGATTGCTATCCAATCGTGCATTGCCAAGCAGGCGTTTCTCGTGCACGACGCTTGGAAAGCATCTACTGCTGCCATCAAAAGTCTTGGGCTGAAGGCGGCTCCGTCCATCAACCACTCGACTGGTTGGAGAGATGCCAATACTGGATTCCATTCGAACGATATTGAGTCCGAGTTTTCCCGTCTCAAGACCATGGTGAGAGAGCGCTATGGTAGGTTATGCTTCCAGTCCACAGCTTCAAATGAAGCAGAAGACGAAGTAGATGTAGGGGATCTGTACGAGTACACGTTCAGAGTCAACATTGGCAACTCATTTCAATCAATGCTGAATGCATTTGTTTTGTCATCACCTTAGCGTTCATCTGTGTACTCTGTCTGACCAACGGTATGGGTATAGATTGCAATGCAATCTGCTGCAGTAGCTTTACGCAAAAAATGTCATGTCTTTAGCGTCTGCATCTGCAAGGTATGTTCTTGTAGTGGTTTCTGTATGTGTTTGCTTGCATGATTACTTCAATGTCATTTGACAACAAGCATATAGCTTTTTGCAGGTGGTATCTGTATTTGATTACTCTTGTTTACTTTGGCAGTTTGCATGTTTATAAACACTGACTACTGTTTATAAACACACCACTTCTTCATTGATGAAGTTACCTTGATAGTGACTGGCTCCAGCTCAAGTCTGTATCAGTGTCATCATGGCGCCCAAGAAGGTGATGTTTGTGGCTATGGGTTCTGAAGTAGAACCTGGGCGGTTTTCGTTGGATCTGCAGACGGTGGACCCTGTCATCTACCGCCCAGACCCAACTACTGATGCTGAGCCGTCAGTGCCTGTGCCCAACGCACATGAACTCCACCAGGACATCGTCAGTGGCCGCAAAGCAGCGTGTGAGTCAAAACAACAACGAACACCGAGACAGATTCAAGCGCATATTCACTATGTCCAAAGAAGCTTGAATTTAGCTCCTGGCATTTCTGGCCAGTGGTCTCGTCAAGCGCAAGATGTTCTCGACACGTGGCTCTTGAAAGATTTGAAGGGCGTGCAGAAAAGGAATATGTTGGCATTGGAGGACAAACCACCTGCTGAAAGTTCCTGCTCAAAAGCCGTTGGCAACATCGTTGAGAGCTCAGAAGCCCGGGACTCACAGCCAAAGGATGAGGATGCCAACATCTTTGAGGACCATCACTCAGAAGCCCTGGACTCACAGCCAAATGATGACAATATGATGGACGAGGATTGCGTCAAGGAGACAACCCCCAAGGATGGCAAGGCCAAGGTCTCATCTTCATCTTCTTCGTCTTCTACCTCCTCTTCCTCGTCCTCTGACCGTACTAAGCGCCGCAAGGTAGAACTGCAGGCTGCATTGACACATCTGAAGAACTTACAAGAAGTGCACCACCTTGAAGACATGGGCGGTTGTCTGCAAATGATTAAATCCGCCATGCAGAATGTCAATGCAGCTTTGCGCTTGTAGATAGCATGAACCTCCTCTGGCATGAACCTGGGCGTATGGCGTATGAAAGATTTCATGCAGTCTATGTGCAATGTTTTTGTGGAAGTATATGCATATATATATATATGGGCGCGTTTCATGGTATTATATCTTATCCATTACTTCTCAGGGGGCCCCGAAAAGCACGCGCGCCCATATATATATTTTTGGACTTCTGATTGAGTTGGAGAATTCAGAGTGCAAAGAGCACATTTGGCTTGCTTCACGTGCGCAACCAAGGCTAGAGCTGAAGATGTTGAACACGCTGCCCAGGTTTCTTTTGTTTTTGGCCGCTTAGCATAAATGCGAAAAGCTTTGCCCGGACCTGGGCAGAGAATCGTACACCCTGCCGATAGCGTCTAGGCTACCTTTCTGCTCTTCATCATGGTCCAGCAGACGCTTCCCTTGCATTTAGGGCACAATATGTTAAGGTTCCCGAGTGTTTCTTCAAGGAGGGGGAGTTTCCTTGAAGAAGCGTGAGCTATCCTGCGTCCAGTAGTTAGTAGCTACTTGTTAGCTACTAGCTACCTCTCCCTACTAGCTACCGACTCCCTGCCCTTAGCTAACCCACCTCTACTAGCGGCCTGCCCCCCGGTCTTAAAAGAAAAGTGTTTGCCATTGAATGACTTCGGTGTCTTCTTTTTCATTCATGATTGTTCCCATTGAACAGCACGCGCGCCACAAACTCGCAAACTCGTGTCTTTTGATTAGCTTCTGTTGGCTGAAGCTGGACACAAAGCTCTCAGGGTGGAATATGATCCCACGAGCTTCTCTGGAATCCACCTACGCCTTAGGGATCATTTCATGGTGAAGGATGTCACTTGGTCTGGCATTTCGGGCAAGAGCCAACCTGGCAAATCCTCCATGTTGTTTCTTTTGTTTGTTGATGCTTTGGTTGCACATCCACTGCTCAAATCATTTTGCATTTGATGACCCCCCCAAAAGTGAAAACCATTTAGTCGGGAGACCTCCAAGTACAGGTGTACGCCATCCGTCAGATCCCAGAGCTGATGGCGTATTTGGACTACTATGTTACCGCTACAGCCACTCGGTGGCCACTTATATAGTTTATCAACATCCAAAGCAAGGGCAGCTTGCAAAGTACCAGAGGCAAACTTGTTTTGTGCTTTGTGCTGCAAACGCCTGCACCCGCTGAGGAGCAACTGAACCCTTTGGATATTTACCACTGGTGTGCAGATGAAGATACTGTACAGCTTCCAGTCTCGTGGCAAGGAAATGACTTGGGATTTATTTGTGAAACGCAACAGACGGTGAACGGATGGTCAGCTTGTCGAGGTCAATCGAATCCGGTGCAACCGTGATCGAGGACGCAACCACCGACCAATTGATGCCCAAAGTGTGAGCTGACTAGGATCAGCCAAAAGGATTGGCAAGCAGAAGCTGCATTTGAGCTAAGGGTGTGCAAGCCAGCAAGTGAAAAGCAATCCACTTGCGAAGTAAAGAAGTATAGACCGGTATAGGGAAGACCTCAGTTTGAACCAGTTTGCTTGAAGACCACTTGACGCAGCAGAAGCTGTCATGGATTCTGGCCTACATAGTGCTGCCAGGAGCTTTGCCAGACAAAGCATTTCTTGCAGCTCGGTTTGTTGACAGTCTTCGAGAGTGCTAGATGTCAACTTTGTCCTGCAGCCGTGCTGAGGATCACTATGCGGTCAGCTCACAGCGCTTGCAGGATGCGCAGAGTAGCTGGTCTTCTAGTTGTGTTCGGTCTTGCTCCTACTCATTTGTTTATTGCTAGATTTGCACACTCACTTGTTCTTCAGACTTTTTGTAAAGCTTCACAAAGCAATCTTTTCGAGATTGTCTGCAAAGTGCACAACACATTAATGCCTGACAAAGCGGGGGCTGCCTTTGCCAATCCAAGTGTGTAAGTGAGGCAATCAGCTCTACTACATGGTGCGCGAAATCCGAGATGCCACTGTAGCGCCTCAGAGAAGAATGAAGGCTCGGGGAGACTTGACATTTCACATGTCAGGCGAGGTCCATTACGCAAGACAAACCAAACAAGGTTAGCGCTGCTAAACAGGAGTGTAGACACATTAAGCAATATCAGACCACACGGCATTCTGGCAGAACCCAGGCAGCATGAATCCCACCACTCAGGGTGGTGATTGATGAAATAAGTGGTGAGAGAGCCCTCATTGTTGTGCAGGCGGAAGGAAAGAATTCCAGCTCGAGGTCTAGCTCAAAGCGGCTTCCTCGAAAGAGAAGCTCGGACTGGTCGAGGGGTCGAGGGAGGTCAGCTGATGATGCTGTTACGAACATGCAGATCATCCAAGGCCAGGTTGCAGTTTCGTTGAGGAGCCCAAAGGTGGCACAACGGGATGCTGTCTCGCAGCTTAATTTGTCTTGGCTGATAGACGTGTCATTTGCTTGTGCGAGCGTTTACTGTAAGTGGAAAGTGGCAACTGGCAGCCTTCGCTCCAGGCTTTAGCGACCAAGCCTGTTGCATGGCTGGCCAACACCTCTGGCATTGTGGGATTTGTGACTTGTCAAGACTGCTCCACATAGTCAGCCAAAGTTCCAAAGCAGTTAAGTTGCACGCCACCATACTACATGTTCACTGAGGCGCTTAACGGTGTAATGCTGGTGGGTGCTCATCATGAGCGCGGAAAGGCCATGCCGACTTCTTGGCCACTCGGAATGCAAAAGGATGCAGCAAGACATGCTCGCAGCAGAATAAGTTTCTTTCAATATCTCGCGATGCAATTTTGGCTTGTGCCTCTTTTAATGTGGAAGCTCTTGATGGGCAATCACTGTTGATTTGCCCATACAGCAAGGGGGTTTGTTTGAGTTCGCTTGCGACACTATTTTGCAACCATTTTAGGTCAGCGAGCATTTTGGCGATCTCTCAGTCAAGGTTTTTTCGCTGTGTCAGGTTTCGGTTGAAGCCAAGGCACTTTGACAACTGTGGTGGACATGTGGACGCCACAGGACCAGTCACCAACCTGCAAGGCCATACATGCTTAACATATTAAGAATCTTGAACCATCTCATTTTCTCGCAAGATGGCCTTGCAGGACATTACCACTACCATTTTCCTGCATCGTGCTTCCTTGGTCGGCAAGGCTTGTGGCCGGCAAGGATGAGGTTGCATTTGCTTTAATGGGATCAATCATGAATAGTTGCTTGAGTCTCTTTGTCTCATGGGAAAGAGAGAAGAACATTGAAAAGGAGCAGAAACAACATAAGAAGGACATGATTACATTGAATACATGAACTTTATGGCCTGCATGCTTCGCATTTAGCATATCCATACCGTAAGATTTGGGCGCCGTTGAAGACCAAACATGATGTGTTGAATGATCCATGTTTGTTCAGAGGGAGAGAGAGAGAGAGAGAGAGAGTGAGAGAGCATCGAAATGAAGTCGTTCTGAAGATGCCTTTCTGCTGCCAGGTCATGTAGCACCTGGACGTGCAGATTGGTGGGCTCAGCCTGATCCCATGGCCTATTGGCCTAGCCTTTCAAAGCCTTCGCCAATCCTTGGCTATGCTTTGGACAAGTCCTCAGACAGAAACTGCAAACTAAAATTAAGCACCTTTTGGTTCGCTTTGTTCAATCTGATGTTCAAACAAACCGAGGATGGAGTTCCCATCCGTGGGCCCTATGGAACAGATGGACGGCTTGTAAATACCAGCGAGCTGGATGAATGCAATGGGCGTACTGTGCTGAACGAGCATGGGCAGAAGGCACAACTTTTGACAACCTTTGGTGACTTGCGTGTTCTTGCTTGAACAGGAGTATCATTACATTTGGTCCATCGCTGATCCGTTTCTGCCTCGCTGTTTCAAATTGCTGCCGGCAGCATTCAAACTTGAGAAGCCAACAAGCACCTTGGATGTAGAAAGGAGAAGCAGGAGGATTGGTCGTTGTGCAGAGGGATGTGATAAGTGTGACAGGAGTTTGGAAGAATTAGCAGGGGAGGGGCTTGGGCGAAATTATTTGGAGAAAGAAGCACTGTGCTGGTAACACCAAGGCGAAATTTGCCGAGAAAGCGGTGAACCTGGAGCTACCTTGAGCAAAGACGATGAGTTTTGGATGCTCAAAGCCAATGGCTGCCCAGACCATCCGTATTTTGGAGAGCCCGTCAAGGTCAATGAAGCGGCCAAGCCGCAACAGCTCAGCAGCACATCAAGCCTCATCCAAGCGTTCGTGGTAGACATGGGTGTTGATTTCTTGTTGGTTTGCCTTGACGGAAGTATATATTTGTATTTGGAGGAGGATGTGTGTGTAGATGCACTTCAGAAGGGATGTTTCTTTTTGCTGGCATACGCGCACACTTAGTCATAGGGTTTGCAGTTAACTCTGTCCCACGTCGAAAAGAGTGAAGGAACGGAACGGCGATGGAGTCAGCTCACTTGAACAATTAGTTGGAAACACTGTTTGCGCGTGACTGCAGAACGCGGCAGTGGCGAGCTCAGCGGCAGTAAAATGGGTTTGTGGGGAGTATCACGAAACCACCATGGAAACCAAAAAGGAACAGTAGGGTCACAGCGTGTGAGGAAATCAGCAGGTACATGGTGGAGCGTCCTCAACCACTTCCCTTCCAGTGACCCAGCTTCGTTGGATCAGGTTAGTCACTGGAAGCCTGACCCCCCTGCTTGATTGAAGTGAAGACCACGCAGAGCTCTTAGAAGCAGAGGGTGACACACACACACACAGAGCCGCTTAGCGGCGCTCCGAAGAACGAGAGCAGTCTTTTTTTGTCGCTCCAAAAATCGTTTGCAGTCGGATGCTGCGTGTCCTTTTTGGACATAGAGGTGGACAAGCTGTTCAGCTGCTGCGTCTGCCGGGCAAGTGTAGGCATAAATGGTGTGCAGTCGTGAAGCAAGGCCGGAGAGTGTGAGTCGTTTGCTACCGGCACTGGTGGCGTCCCCGATTTTCCAGGATTGGGTGGGTTGGCTGAATTTTTCAAATGTGTCAGCATGCGTGACTCGCATGAGGCCTAGGAAAATACGGAAAATAACGCTTGAACCTTGAAAGCGCTGCTGAAACGAAAGATCCGTAAGCCCTGCGGCGTCAAAACCCCGTAGCTCGGCAGCATTGGGATCAGAAGATTCATGGGTGAGACAGAAAAGAGACAGTAAACCTGATTCACGAAAGCCAATCTGTCGAACCAATATGTGATTCCCAATGGTTTCAGCGCTCCCTTGCGGGAGATCACACCCGGCACCCAGTGGGACGACAGAGCGGCGCACACTTAGTCATAGGGTTTGCAGTTAACTCTGTCCCACGTCGAAAAGAGTGAAGGAACGGAACGGCGATGGAGTCAGCTCACTTGAACAATTAGTTGGAAACACTGTTTGCGCGTGAGTGCAGAACGCGGCAGTGGCGAGCTCAGCGGCAGTAAAATGGGTTTGT